ATGAAGGGCATGAGCCATGCTCCCACCACCATCAAGCATACTCCCAAACATCGTAAATCAATTGGCCGATTACCGTAGCCACAGATCCCCTGATAAATGCTGAGAGCTGCTGCTCCAAGGTTGAATAGCCAACTGGGTTCCACCAAGACCCTGGGGATGCAGAGTTAATCATCAAGCAGGAACTTGAAAGAAGGAAGAGGCCCGGGGGCCAGTGGCCAGAGCCCAGCTGGTCCAGACGCACAGACCTGGGGCAAAGGTGCAGGCTAAGGTGAGTGGTTGAAGGGGCAGAGGGAAGGGAGTACATAAACAGGAGGATTAGGTAGAAGGAGGAGGAGGAGGAGGGTGGAAGGAAGAACAGAAGAAACCCAGGAAGTAGAGTTGGTGACAGAGCAGGGGCAGAAGTGACAGGAAGCTTTGGAAGCTGCTTGAGTATGTGGGTCCAGATGTTTATGTATGAGCACACACATGTGTAGAGGTCAGATATCAGTACCAGATGCCCTTCTCGATTATTTTCTGTCTTGTTTTTGTCAAGCAGAATCTCTCATTGGCCTGGGGCTCACTGACTAACTAGGGTTAGACTAACTAGCCAGTGAGCCTAGGGATCCGCCTGTCTCTACCTCCCAGTGTGGGTGTTACAAGTTCAGGCCATCATGCCCAGATTTAATGTGAGCGCTGAGGGTTGAACTCAGGCCTCATGCCTGTGTGTCAAGAATTTTACTGTCCAAGCCATCTCCTCAGGCCCATAAAGCTGCCTTGAAGAGCCTGACTCGGTTAGATTAGCAATAGGGAGTGCCTTGCCTTAGGTGGAGACATCCCCGAGGCCAGCTAGACAGGCCACAAGTGCTCTAGCTGGGACTTGTCCCTTTGCCTGCCAGGAAGCAGCTCACCAGGAACCTCTCAAGCGTCTCCCGTCCGTGCATGTTGGTGCTAGGCACCAGAACATCCAGTATTATTGATTTGCCGGCGCTATGACTCAGGATTTTCTAGTTGACCACTTGGCTCAAGGAGAATTTCTCCACACCAAGATGGCGGAAACACTGGACTTACCTTCTCATGCAAACTGCTGAAGGCACCACGTGGGAAGAAACAATGAGGAGTTATCTGACTAGTTGCCATGGGGATCCTTAAGGTATTTCAACAAAGGAATATGGTAACATTGTTGAGGCTTGGGCCTAGCTCAGTTGTAGGGTGCTGTGTAGTGTGCCCAAGACTCTAGGTTTGAACCCAGCACTGTGGGAAAAAAAAATATCACTATAGGGAGGGTTCAAGGAAATGGAATGTTGTGCATTGGGTCTTATCAGGAATAGAAATAATTATATGATTACATATCTTTAATCATTCTTACCTAGAAAATAAGAGGAGTGAGGTAAGACTAAAGCTATAATTAGTAAAGAAGCAGAAGTCACCCTTCTTAGCCAGGAAGGGGCATTGTTGGTCACCTTGGCGGTTTGGACGGCGTCCTTATTTTTTGTTCAGACATGATTATAGAGTAATCTTGTTTTGTTTTGTGTGTTTTCTTTCTGCTCCACTGTGGTCAGAGTGGCCCTTGTCTGCTGTTGATGCTCCATGGAAATACTTAGGTTCAAAGGATCACGGTGTGCGTGCCAGGCAGGGTGCAGGCTCTCTGGGTTTTCTCTTCCTTGGGCAAAAACAGAGGCTTGTATCTACAGGCAACCAGGAGCCCTGGGGAGGAAGAATCCGAGGGTCCACAGCATGCAGACCTAAGCAGAAACTCCTCTTAAAGGTTCAGAATGGGGCTGAGGAAAGCCGGGTGCTCTGGTTCATGACCGCCTCCCCTCTGTTTCCCTACTTGACAAGTACTGTGCTTGAGGAGCGCACTCAGGCACTCGGAGAGACAGACAGTGCAGGTAGATAATAAAGCGCCTGGTAGTCCTGAATGGTGTGGAGGAAACATTGTCGCCGGTAGCGCATGGGTAAACACTCCGCCGTAAGGAGCGGAGGAAAGGTGCCACATGATTCCACGGTGTTTCAGGAAGAGAAATGGGAAGTGCTACATCCCCAGCGACAGGAAGAAGCAAGTCTGTGGCCCCCTGAGTGATAAGGAGACAAGGGCAGAGGCAGGCTGGGCCAGGGACATTGAGGTCTGTTCCTTGTGTCCTGAGGCCACCAGAACCCTTTAGCAAAGAGGACAGCTGCAGGATAACCTCTCCCCGTGAGGCAGAGTCTGGCCTGTCCATGACACATTGAGACCAGGGCTGCTGGGACTCCGAATTTTTCCCCACTAATGTAAGTCATGGTTCAGATAGGGAGAATCCTTTCCCAATGCAGCTGATACAAATTGCCACAGATCATGCTCCAAACGACATGAACATGAATAGTTCTAGGAGTGGGAACCCCTAATATCAAAGGCAGGGCTCTGTTCCTTCCAGAAGCTGTATTCATAACCTTCCTAGTTTCTGGAGAGCACATACACCACCTTCTTTAGCCTGTGGACCCTTCCTCTGTCTTCAAAGATGACAGTATAGGAACATCGGTTCTCTCTCTCTCTCTTCCTCTCTCTCTCTCTCTTCCTCTCTCTCTCTCTCTCTCT